CTATTCGCTCACTCAGTAAACATGTAGTGAGCGGCTAAGCGTGCCAGGGCTGTCCTAGCCTGTGGGGATGTCGCAAAGGAAGGACTGGCCAAACTCTGCTCTTCACGGAGCGGACAGAGGGAAGATAAGATAAATACGATAAGCAGTGATGGTGAACCTATGACACGCGTGTCAGAGGTGACACGCAAACTCATTTTTTTGGTTGATTTTTCTTTGTTAAATGGCATTTAAATATATAAAATAAAGATCAAAAATATAAATCTTTGTTTTACTATGGTTGCAAATATCAAAAAATTTCTATATGTGACACGGCACCAGAGTTAAGTTAGGGTTTTTCAAAATGCTGACACGCCGAGCTCAAAAGGTTCGCCATCACTGCGATAAGGTGTTCCAGGTCGTCGTCAATGACAAGGAGTTTTTTAGTGAAATGGGAGTGAATTTTCAGGGGTGAGGGTGACCCGGGAGGCCTCGCTGGGCAGGCAGCTTTGAGTAGAGAGCTGGGGAGGGGAGCGAGGATGGGACTTGGGACCTGAACTGCGTCAGCTCCTGCCCTGGCTGCTGATCCCTCACTGCTTCGTGCTGGTTTGTGGTTTTATGAAAAAGATTCATGCTGTTTCTCTGATGAAAGTGTGGCTGCAGGAATGATAAAACCATCAGATAAGATGAGTTGAAAGTCAGTGGTGTTTTATGGAGAATAAGGCAACCTGGGAAGAGGCTGTGTGGAGAATATAACAGTGCCGCGTAGGAGGTGCCTTTTTCCGTTCCAGTTGTCATGCCCTATAATTGCATGTCCAACGTGCCCTTTCAGAAAATCCTGGGATCCGACCGGGCCTTCCGGAGCCGGCTCCAGTACTTCGGGAGGTCCTTGGACGGCTATGGAGACCTAAATGGGGATTCCATCACCGATGTGTCCATTGGTGCCTTTGGACAAGTTGTTCAGCTCTGGTGAGTGAGTGAGGCAGACAGAGCAGCTAATAAAGCAGGGCCAGTGCGTTTGGGCAGATCTCTCTGCGGGGCCTGCAGAAGGGCCACGTGCTGGTCCAGATCTCCCTGCTGGTCCTCAGAAGGGCCATGTGCTGCTCTAGATCTCCCTGCTGGTCCTCAGAAGGGCCGCGTGCATTAGCTAAGACTCCAGGGCCCTGGTTTTTGTAAAGAAGGACTGCCTTCCCTGGTGGGAGAAAAAAAAAAAATTTGCTTCCCATTAGAATCCAGCATCTCTTCTCTGTGGCGAGAAGGGCGTGGGAATGGTCGCCAGGGTTGGGGAAGCTTGTCTCCAAGGGGCCCTCGCTGGCTCCCAGCAGGAAGCTTCCTGAGATGCCCTAACCAGGCTGAGCGCCCGGACCGCACTGCAGCTCCGCGCGCAGTTAAGAGGCACCGCGTGGAACCATCCGTCATGAACAGGACGCCATTGTGTCGGTTCAGTGGCCCCGCGTTGAACCAGTGGGAGCTGAGGAGCAGGAACAATAAGGGATTCAAGCGCCATGCGGTTCAAGGACAAAAATAAATGTATGGGGCTGGTGAGGGAATGGAACCAGAGGGAAATGGAGAATTTCATCAAGAGTTCCCAAGAAGATACAGTCCAGCCATTCATGCACTTGTTTCTGTAGGGATTGTGCTTCAAATGTCCAAATGCGTCAGGAACAGAAAAGCTACACATGGACGTTGTGCTGTTTCTGAGTTTAATGGCACCATTTGCAGTATCTCACTCGTGCTTTCAAAAAACAAAATGCAGTGTCTTCATGAAATCTTTATATGGGAAAATAAGACTGAAGGGTCACATTTAAGATGTTAAAAATAAGAAGACATATTTACTGAATAAAACCAGTTAAAACCAGTTAACAGTAACATACCATTGGAAAAATACAAGGTGTGATAACATAATTATATGACTAATTTTTTAAAATCTATTTTTATTGATTTCAGAGAGGAAGGGAGAGGGAGAGAGATAGAAACATCAATGATGAGAGAGAATCATCGATTGGCTGCCTCCTGCACACTCCCCACCAGGGACCGATCCCGCAACCTGAGCATGTACCCAGACCAGGAATTGAACCATGACATCCTGGTTCATAGGTTGACACCCAACCACTGAGCCACACCAGCTGGGCTATAGGACTGATTTTTTTCCCAATATTTTTTTAATTGATTTCAGAGTGGAAGGGAGAGTGAAAGAGAGATAGAAACATCAATGATGAGAGAGAATCACTGCACGCCCCCTCTGGGGATTGAGCCCGCAACCTGGGCATGTGTCCTTGACCAGAATCGAACCCCGGACCTTTCAGTCTGCAGGCTGACGCTCTATCCACTGAGCCAAACCAACGAGGACTATATGACTGGTTTTTAAACAGTAAGCAGTTACACCTCAGTGAACTTGACCGTGCCCATCTTGGCAAGCAGCGGCCCTGGTGGGCTATATCCTTGCTCTGCTATGATGCTCCCTTTAGTGTAGTCAGTGATGGCCAAACCTTTTCCTGGGAAGGTGAATTGATTCTTCAAAACAGTTGAGACACATGAAATCAATTACTGACACTCAGCCAAAGTAGGTTAGTGCCACTTTTCCTTCAAGTGCCGAGACTGGCTTTTCTGGGCGACTTCCTGAGAATGAGTTTCAGAAATCCAAGTTTCCGGAGTCTCTGAAATCAGTGCCCTCTCTCCTGGGAGACATGTTCAGCTTCTTCAGCAGACGGACTCACAGAAAACCCGCTCATGGCCGCATGGGCCCTGAGGCCGTGGCCGCGCTGCCTCTGCTACGAGGCCGTCTGTGCCTGCTGGTCAGGGGCCTGCGACAGGCATGGTTCATGATCGACGCACCTTTCCGATGGACTCCAGTCCTGAAATGGAAAGAACATGTTTTCTGTATCTTCTTGTAGTACCTTTAGGAACAGGGAATTTTTTAAAAATATATTTTATTGATTTTTTAGAGAGGAAGGGAGAGGGATAGAGAGTTAGAAACATCGATGAGAGAGAAACATCGATCAGCTGCCTCCTGCACACCCCCACTGGGGATGCGCCCGCAACCAAGGCACATGCCCCTGACTGGAATCGAACCTGGGACCCTTGAATCCGCAGGCCCACGCTCTATCCACTGAGCTTAACCGGTCAGGGCGTCAGGGAATTTTTTGATTTCTACTGGCTGCTTTGTCAATAGTCAAGATGTGCCCAAGGGGTCACATGATCACCTACAAATTCCACTGCCCAGGGGCTGAGGAGACCGCGGGTTCTAATGGCTCACCTGCTATTGTTACTCACGAACTGACTCAGCACACTGGCCCGTTTCCAGCATCCTCGGGCCTCAGACGTCTTCACTGATAAGTGGAGATGGCATGTGTCCCACCCACGTCACAGGAGTGGCGCAGAAGCAACGCGGGGGTGCGTGTGGGAAAGGCCCTCAGACGCCCCAAGGGCAGAGGCCGAGCCTGCAACCCCTGCCTGAGGTGGCCTCCTCCCCAGTTCCCGGCATCAGGCTAATTGCCAGCATCAGGATCACATGCCATGCTCTCAGGATCGCTGCCAGTCACCGAGGCAACGGGAAACCGCCACAAGCACACACCTCAGCCCTGTCTCCCCTCCCCGCCTCCCCCCTGCTACAGCCCTGTCTCCCCTCCCCGCACCCCTCCCCCCGCTACCCCGCCCCCTATCTTTATGAGAAAAATGAATGTCACTGTGTCCAGCTGGACAGGACCGTGTGCCCCTCTGCAGACTCAGGCCCGTGCTCACGCGTGCACTCATTAAACCAACAGTGTTAATGATGACTGTGCTGGTGCCACGGTCACAAACAGGAAACATCGTCCCCGCGCCAGCTCAGAGCTTTCCATCTGAGTGCTGCCAGGTGCCAGATGGAGCGGGAAGAGGGAGGGGGCGGTGACTGGACCCTGCAGGCACTGGACCCTGTGAAGTTAGCACACCTGTACTTGGCGGTCTGTCCATCTGTCTGTCCCCACTGTGTCTTTCAGGTCACAGAGCATTGCTGATGTGTCTGTAGACGCTTCGTTTACACCAGAAAAAATCACCTTGCTCAACAAGAATGCGGAGATCCGCCTCAAGCTCTGCCTGTGGGCGAGGTTCCGACCCGCCACGCCAAGCAGCCGCGTGGGTGCGTGGGGCTGCGATCATGTGAATGGGGTTGCTCCTCCTCATTGCATCACTTTCAATATTTTAGAAGTTGACTTGACTTCCAAAAACATTCATTATACAGCTTACCTTTAAAATATCTATTAGAAATGTTGTGTAACTTTTCTTGCTCCAGTGACTTCGGGAGGTTAACAAAGATGGATAAAATGTAAGAGGATCAATGAACTAAAAAGAAGCGGTAAAAATAGCGCAAAGGAAAGGCAGTGTCCCGCTGTGGGCACGCAGTAACTGTGTCTTTCCTTTTCGCATCATCGTGTTACGAATGATGTTTGGAAACCAAAGTGTGAGGGAGTAAGTTGGCCAACCCCACTCAGAGGTTCCCCGGGGGCACGCCCACTTTCCTTCCCCTGTGTCCAGCCACAGTCACGCACATCCCACCAGCGCTAGCGTCACGGCTGCCCTGGGCCGTCCATGGCTCACAGCCCATCAGCGTAAAAGCCGCTTTCACATTTCCTCGAAGTCAGAGACCTCACCCAGTGGGACACAATAAGACCAGGGATGCTCTTCCCTTTGAAGGTTTTTGTGGTAACATTTTTACGATGTTTATCACAGCCATTACCTATAACATCACCATCGACGCGGACCTGTACTCGTCCCGCGTGACCTCCCGGGGGCTGTTTAAGGAGAACAGTGACCGGTACCTGCAGAAGGACGCCACCGTCGGTCCAGGACAGACTTGCTCTGAGTTCGCCATCCACATACAGGTGAGGGCCCCCTCCCCGCTCCCTGGGGCCTAGTAAACGGAGAAAATCCAAAAGGGAGACTGAGGAGCCAGGAAACGCTCGCCTGCTAACGCACGCTTTTCTTTTCTGGGGACAGGGCGCCTGTCTCCTTCGCTAACGCGTACGGCGAGGGGCCGTTCCTCAGTGAGGGGCGCTACGTTTTATTTGTGGTTGCAGTTAATGGGGCCAAATAGAAAACCCTCAGAGACGCCGGGGACAGGACACCTTATAAGGCGGTCAGCAGGGAGAACGCGTAGTTGACAGGGATTTTACGCGGACATTTTCCGCTCGGGGAAGTTGCGTTCCTTTTTAAGGGACCGAAGAGAACCATCGCACTGGGTTTTCGCTGGTGGATGACGTTCGCAGGGCGAAGGGTGGCAGGGCATCAGGGCGAAAGGATGAGCTGTGCTCTCAGGCAGTGACGCCCGTCCAAATGGAGTTGGAAGGCCTCCCGAGGAGGAAATGTGCTTCTCCGAGAAAACCCCCAGCAGGAACTTTGTTTTATTAATTACAGGACCCTTTCCCCATAGAAACCACAGCATGGGATTTGAGAGTGTACTTTCCTCAGGACGCTGTTAGGAACTTTTCTGGAAATGTGGTTCTCAGGGTGTAAGAGGCATCGGGGTTGCCCAGGGAACTGTTATGGAACGCATGTCTGGGGCCTCACCGCCAGCCTCGGGGGGTTGAGGGTCCAGGGCACACGCAGGGCGAAGGGGCCCAGGTACTCGTGGTGCAGCCGGTGATGCAGGGACCACATCTCGGGAAAGGCCGCGTGCAGACCGCTAACGCGTACGGCGAGGGGCCGTTCCTCAGTGAGGGGCGCTACGTTTTATTTGTGGTTGCAGTTAATGGGGCCAAATAGAAAACCCTCAGAGACGCCGGGGACAGAGTGCCTTATAAGGCGGTCAGCAGGGAGAACGCGTAGTTGACAGGGATTTTACGCGGACATTTTCCGCTCGGGGAAGTTGCGTTCCTTTTTAAGGGACCGAAGAGAACCATCGCACTGGGTTTTTCACTGGGCGCACGCAGGGCGAAGGGGCCCAGGTACTCGTGGTGCAGCCGGTGATGCAGGGACCACATCTCGGGAAAGGCCGCGTGCAGACGCTGAAAAGCTTACCACGGATGCTCGGACGCATGCACATGGGTTGTTTGCTGTTCACGTTGAAGGTTACTTGTTCGCCAAGGCCTGGCCTTCTGTTGGTGAGGGGCCAGCTGTCCCGCCCCTTTAAGGAATGACAGCTGGAACCACATAATGAGCTGAATGGCGGGTCACACTGAACACGTGGCCCATCTAATTACAGGACTTTCCCCATAGAAACCACAGCATGGGATTTGAGAGTGTACTTTCCTCAGGACGCTGTTAGGAACTTTTCTGGAAATGTGGTTCTCAGGGTGTAAGAGGCATCGGGGTTGCCCAGGGAACTGTTATGGAAAACACATCTGGGGCCTCACCGCCAGCCTCGGGGGGTTGAGGGTCCAGGGCACACGCAGGGCGAAGGGGCCCAGGTACTCGTGGTGCAGCCGGTGATGCAGGGACCACATCTCGGGAAAGGCCGCGTGCAGACGCTGAAAAGCTTACCACGGATGCTCGGACGCATGCACATGGGTTGTTTGCTGTTCACGTTGAAGGTTACTTGTTCGCCAAGGCCTGGCCTTCTGTTGGGGAGG